TAGAAGTAGCTATGCCCCCACAGCTCATGCAGTCTACTAGGCATCCTCAAACTACGACCCACGGGCCACATGCAGCCTGCCTAGGACATTTATCCGGCCTGCCGGGTGTTTTGGCCGCCACTGCCTGTCCTGCTTAGCAGCCAACTCGTCTCGGGGCCCACAGTCTGGCCCTCCAACTGTCTGAGGGACAGTGAACTGGCTCCCTATTTAAAAAGTTTGAGGACCCCTGGTCTATACCCTGGTGGAGATGGCACAGCTTGATGCTGCCAAGGTTTACTCTCTGTGCCCTGTGGAGGATCAGCCACTGCCGACCTGCACTGCACCTGGGCTAGTTGGAGCCACACTTGGAAGGGCTAAGGAGCGCTGTGTGCCAGAAGTCATTCACAGAGCAGAGACTTGAGGTTGTGCTAAGTAAGAGAAGCTCCTAGAAACACCCAAAGCCCCACTTTTGACACAGTTCTGTCCCTGGGGCATTGTTACTCGTCCCTTGACGAAGGGACAACATTGATAAAGGCCTTCAGGTTCATTCTTCCATTGTTTTGATGAATAGCAGCAGGCTTCCACCCATCCATACTAATCTCCTTTTCAAAAGACCCACTTGGGCACACCCTTCCTGTTGTCTACAGTAAGGCTTTTTCATTCTTTACAGGCCAGGAAGAGAATTTTCCAAATCTTTAAGTTCTGTCCCACCTTTTTTCTTTTGAGACAGGGTCCTGCCTTGTTGGCCCAGGCTAGAGTACTGGAGTATCATAACTCACTTCAACCTTAAACTCCTGGGCTCAAGTAATTCTCCTGCCTCAGTCGCCCTACAAGTACACACCACCACACACAGCTAATTTTTTCTATTTTTTTTCTTTTTTTTTTTTTTGAGACAGAACCTCAAGCTGTCGCCCTGGGTAGAGTGCAGTGACGTCATAGCTCACAGCAACCTCCAACTCCTAGGCTTAAGGGATTCTCTTGCCTCAGCCTCCCAAGTAGCTGGGACAACAGGCGCCTGCCATAATGCCTGGCTATTTTTTGGTTGTAGTTGTCATTGTTGTCTGGCAGGCCTGGGCTGGATTTGAACACGCCAGCTCTGGTGTATGTAGCTGGTGCCTTAGCCACTTGAGCTACAGGCACTAAGCCTAAGTTTTCTATTTTTTGTAGAGACAGGTTTTGTTCTTGCTCAGGCTGGTCTCAAACTGGCCTCAAGCAATCCTCCTGCCTCAGCCCCCTAGAATGCTAGGATTACAGGCATGAGCCAGCTCTCTGGGCCTCTGCTTCCCCTTTGATTATAAATTTCATCTTTAATTAACTTCTGTCTTCTCACATTTTATTAAAAACAATCAAGAGAAACCATGCTGTACCCTCAACACTTTCCTAGGAATTCTTCTACGTACACTATCCCATCATTCCTAAGTTCTTCCTTTCACAAAACACTGAGACGTGAACACAATTCAGCCAGGTTCTTTGCCATTTTGTCACAAAGATGGTCTCTCCTCCAGTTCCCAATAACACGTTTCTCACTTCTGAGGTCTCACCAGAAGAGCCTTCTATTCTATACCATCTGTATCAGCATTCTGAGTGTGACCACTTCATAATCTCTAAGAAGACTGAGCTCTCCTCTTCTGATCCCACACCAGAATCACCCTTTGAGGTCCTCTCATGGTAATATAGTGTTTTTCTAGCCTATTCCTCCAAATTCTTATAGCTTATTCATTACAGAGTTCCAAAGCTGTTCTCATTATATTAGGTCTTTGTTATCGCAGCAACCTACTTCTTTTTTTTTTTTTTT